ATAGGTATCACTTTGGCGAGAAGGTAACAGCGCTCCATGCAGTCATGCCAGCCACATGACCTTACTGGCATCTACAAACAACATCTTAGAAATGGAGATGAGCACCACCCCCAGAGTCAAATTCAACAAGACTTAATGTCAAGGAGAAAGCCTTACCTTTATTATCTTGCATGATATTAGATACCTAGCAACCCTCCTCAAGGCAAAGGCTATTGGCCACCACTGTCAAGTGTACGGATGTGACAAGGAACTGCCCCTCAAAGCCATGTATTGGATAAATTGATGGTTGAGAGCCAACAGATGGTTCTACCTCCTAACCTCCTCTACCACCACCACTACACATATACATACACAACTTCAGAAAAAATAACATTTTGAGATATGCACCAACAAGACTCCAGCTCAAGTCTGTAAGGCAACTATATAGTAGTAATGGGGAAGTACAAATAAAGTTAGCAGAACAGGTTCTTCCTGTAACCATTATGGTTATAAAATATGTTCTTCTGATTAAAACAGTGAGAATCAAGGCATTTCTCTGTATGGAGGATAATAATTGCCTCTGGCCTTGCAGTGTGGGTGGCGGGGGTGGTGATGTATCATTTGCTTTTGGAGAAAACATCCCAAAAATCCTTTGGTATCAAATACTGAACTACAGGGAAAGGAAAGTAAGAGGGATGCTTTTTGTCCTGCCCTGTCTTTTAAAAATGATTTCCTTTACTAAGAACTTAGAGCTTAAATGAGCAGAATATTAAAAAGCTCCTCTCCTCCAGCGACTCATTCATTATTTTTAACAATCAACTATAACCATTGATTTTTGTCCTTGTTTGTGTGTTTATTTCTTACTTAAGGAAAAAATATGCCAGCTCAGAGGCTCTATTATCAGAAAAAGACCAGAGGAGGAAACTGTGTACGGTAAATTACATTTTACTAGTATCTCAATACACTGAAAAAAGGGAACTGTAGAATCAAAGTAGACCTGAAGTAAACTTCACTGAAACCCATAGAAAAATTCTGATTTTCCTATTCTGTTATGGTTGGCATTCTGTTAAGTAATTACAATGTCATAAGTAAATACAGTGTCATAGTTCACATCTATTATTATTGCACAATCACAATGACCAATTATGATCACAATTACCAAAATTACTAGGAGAGGGCACCCTTCCTTCAAATGTTCAGGACAACTTGGGATGTAGCATCTATGGTAACATAGCTAAGTCTTCATAGCTATATCTCCCAATGCAAAACCTCAACCTGTTGGTGTTTCCTACTTCCTGGAGACATGTGATCCCATCAAGGAATATAGGAAATTTTGGAAAAATGATACCATGGCCTTTTGAGAAAATGGCATTCACCATAACCTTTTGGGAAATCAGGAATCTCCCTGAGAAGAGTTAGAAACTCACTTGAGTCAACCTTTTCCCTAGTGATAAATATCCACCAGTATTCATACAAGGCAGTTAGGTTTCTCAGCTGTTGAGCTGATACCCTAACTATCTCTTTGAACTGTTAGGGACAAATACTTGCCAATGCACAAAAACATATATAGCATTTTCATAAGTGTTCACTTCAGTTGCCCAAAACATCTACTCTCCCTTAAAACATATAGGTTTAAATCGTGCTCTTGAGAGCCCAAAAAAGAAAATAAGCACAAACAGGGATGGGAACTATTACTGAAAAGGTGGGAATGATGCTGTATGTGACTACACTTTAGGTTCCTCTGAACCCTAAGAGAGAAGAGGGTATGTCAATTGCCTGCTTTAAAATGACAGTTGCATATTCTATCTACATCCTACTCCACTGAGTGTTTCCTATGAAAAAGGGAGAGTTTGCACTCTGTTGATTACAAAAATGTGATGTTGAATGGGGGAAGGTTGGTAATTTCATAAGAGCTACAGTACAAGCACCACTGAAATCATAATTTTCACAGCAAAGATTATTCCAAATATTCAGTTGTTATAGCCACAGAACCAAGGTATAAACCAGGGGTCCTCAAACTAAGACCCGGGGGCCGGATATGGCCCTTCAAGGTCATTTACCCGGCCCTTTCTCAGGGTCAACCTAAGTCTGAAATGACTTGAARGCACACAACAACAATCCTATCTCATCAGCCAAAAGCAGTCCCACACTACYCAYTGAGATCCTAATAAGTTTATATTTGTTAAAATTGTTCTTCATTTTAATTATGTATTGCTTTTAAGGTTTKKTTTTGTTTTTGTTTTTTGCAYTACAAATRAGATATGTGCAGTGTGCATAGGAATTCATTCATGTATTTTTCAAATTATAATCCGGCCCTCCAACAGTTTGAGAGACTGTGACCTGGCCCTCTGTTTAAAAAGTTTGAGGACCCTTGGTATAAACTGATGATATAGATATATCTGTAATGAACATAGAGCTCAATTAGCAMGTCAGGAAAGAATTGTATTTTTTTAAAAAAAACATATATATCTACAAGGTATATTCTTTTTTTCCCCTTCTCCCTCTTCACCAGATAAAATCACCACTGTTCGTTATCAACATGGTAAGTTGCTTCAGCTTAATTTCTTAAATTATACTTGCATATAGTTTATAAATTTCCCCATATTTTCCCCAGGAAGTGACAATCTGTCATCCATCCATTTGTTTATCTATTTCAGTGTTTCTCAACCTGGGTGTCAAGACCCCGGGGGGGGGGGGTTTGCAAGGGGGTGCCAGAGAGGTCGCCAAAGGCCATCAGAAAACACACTATTTTCTGCTGATCATGGGGGTTCTTTGTGGGAAGTTTGGCCCAATTCTATCATTGGTGGCGTTCAGAATGCTCTTTGTAGGTGAACTATAAATCGCAGCAATTACAACTCCCAAATGTCAACGTGCACCAGTGTTCAAATTTGGGCATATAGAGTATTCATGCCAAGTTTGGTCCAGATCCATCATTATTTGAGTCCACATTTCTCTCTGGATGTAGGTGAACTACAACTCCAAAACTTAAGGTCAATGTCCACCAAACCCTTCCAGTATTTTCTGTTGGTCATGGAAGTTCTTTGTGCCAAGTTTGGTTCAATTCCATCATAGGTGGAGTCCAGAATGCTCTTTGATTGTAAGATAACTATAAATCCCAGCAACTACAACTCTCAAATGACAAAATCAATCCCCCTCCCCCAACCCCATCAGTATTCCGATTTTAGCGTATCAGGAATTTATGCCAAATTTGGTCCAGTGAATGAAAATACATCTTGCATATTCGATATTTACATTATAATTCATAACAGTAGCAAAATTACAGTAATGAAGTAGCAACGAAAATGTTATGGTTGGAGGTCACCACAGCATGAGTAACTGTATTAAGGGTCATGGCATTAAGAAGTTTGAGAACCACTGATTTATTTAGTGTTGATTAAACTATTATTTGCCCTATCTGGTATGAATCAGAGAGAGTTGTTCCAATTCTAAATAACTTTCAAGGGGTGAGAATTACTGGAAAGGTTGGTCAGAATGCGTTCTTCTTGTATTGTTTTTTTTTTTCTTGTTTATAAAAACATTTGTTTCCCTATTATCGCAAATGATGGCAGCAATACACCTACACTTCATTTTTCTCACCCTAAAATGAAATAAACCTACATCATTAGATGGCACTGATTCTGTTTGGTTGGCAGAGGTGGAGATGGCAGCTCCCATGGGAATGACATACCTTTGGAAAAACAAACATTCTCAACATTTTAAATATGTTCTGAAGGCGAAGAGGGATTATATCAGATAAACTATCCACGATAGAGCCTTCATCAAGACATAGGAATGTAATTGTTTTCCAATTTTGTTCCTTAAAGAAACAATTTCTTACTTTAGCATTCTTCTTCCTGCTATGAGATGTTCTTCTGATACTTATCAGTTTTTCAAGATTATTTGCAATTCAAGACTTATTTCTGTACAAAATGTGTATGCATGTTTTTTATGTGGAAACTAATATTTTCTGCACAATCAATAATATTTGTGTGCAGACAGTGCTGTTTCCTAGACGGAAAGTACTAGATTTTGTTAATTTATCATGTATAAAATTTAAATATTCCCAAACTGTAAAGATTTCCATCAGTCCAGAATTCTCCTTGTCTGGGATTCCTGAAATTTGAGAGTAACATTTTTTTAAACATTTTCAATATCCTTTCTATCCCTACCAAAAAATGTCATAGACTCGAGCTTCTCAGGCTTTTAAAAAACTGTCTCTTCCAAAGTTCTAAGTACATAAGTATTATAAAATATAAAATAAAAACTGTATAAATAAATGTATTTATCATGCCAGGAGCAAACCAAACAGTTGTATTGTATGTATTGTCGAAAGCTTTCATGGCTGGAATCACTAGGTTCTTGTGGGTTTTTTCGGGCTATAGGGCCATGTTCTAGAGGCATTTCTCCTGACGTTTCGCCTGCATCTATGGCAAGCATCCTCAGAGTTAGTGAGGTCTGTTGGAATTAGGACAATGGGTTTATATATCTGTGGAATGGCTGGGTTGGGGCAAAGAGCTCTTCTCTGCAGCTGAAACATTCACACCTAGCTCCAGCAGAGAAGAGCTCTGCCCCACCCCAGCCATTCCACAGATATATAAACCCATTGCTCTATTTCCAACAGACCTCACTACCTCTGAGGATGCTTGCCAGAGATGCAGGCGAAACGTCAGGAGAAATGCCTCTAGAACCCTATAGCCCGAAAAAACCCACAAGAACCTACAATGGCCTTTGTTTGGTGCATCTGCACTGCAGAAATAATGCAGTTTGACACCACTTTAACTGCTATGGCTCAATGCAATGGGATCCTTTGACCAGTATCTGGCCACTTGGAGTGCCTCTGGTGTTGCAAGAAGGTCCTCCATTGTGCATGTGGCAGGGCTCAGGTTGCATTGCAGCAGGTGGTCAGTGGTTTGCTCTTCTCCACACTCACATGTCGTGGATTCCACTTTGTAGCCCCATTTCTTAAGGTTGGCTCTGCATCTCGTGGTACCAGAGCGCAGTCTGTTCAGCACCTTCCAAGTCGCCCAGTTTTCTGTGTGCCCAGGGGGGAGTCTCTCATTTGGTATCAGCCATTGGTTCTGAGGTTCTGGGTTTTTGCCTGCCACTTTTGGACTGTCGCTTGCTGAGGTGTTCCAGCGAGTGTTTCTGTAGATCTTTGAAAACTATTTCTTGATTTAAGTCATTGGCGTGCTGGCGTGATGGGCCGGAGATGTCACTGCCTTGGTCCTTTCATTATTGGTTGCTACTTCCCAGTGGATGTCAGGTCGTGCAATACCGGTACAGTTTATCCAGTGGTGTAGGGTGCAGACATCCTGTCATAATGCAGACTGTTCTAACTTGGTGAGATGTGCTCCACACTGAGCGCTTTGCTACTCAGCAGCAGAGTAGCAAAGTGCAAGGGCAGATGTCTTCTCTGTAATTCCCATCATCCTAAACCAGCATAATCAGTGGTGATGGACTATGTTATTTTTGTGTAAACTGCTCTGAGTCCCCCCGGGGTGAGAAAAGTGGTATATAAATACTGTAAATAAATAAGTAAATATCCCATCTGATCTTGGAAACTAAGCAGGGTCAATTCTAATCAGGACTTGGATGAGAAGCTGCCAGGAAATCCCAAATAGCTATAAGCTATTTTGAGAGAAACAAACTGACAAAACTACCTCTAAATATTTCTTGCCTATGGAATTCCTATGGCATTCATTGGATCAACATAAGTCAACAGGCAACTTGTTGTCCTGTTGATTTGTCTATTGTAAAACAAACATCTTTGTATCAAGAAACCATATCATACGAAAGCTGACTGGCACAACCTGGGAATAACAACCAGACACAGTGAAAACATCCGCCCTTGTGCTATGCTACTCTGCTTCTGAGTAAGCATGCCCAGTGTGGAACACATCTCACCACGCTAAAACAGTGGATGTGGCTCTTAATGAGACATGCCGCATTATCACAGGGTGTCTGCGCCCTACACCACTGGAGAAATTACACTGTTTAGCCGGTATTGCATCACCTGACATCCGCCGGGAAGTAACAACCAATAGTGAAAGGACTAAAGCAGTGACATCTCCAGCTCATCCCCTGTTTGGGTATCAGCCACCACGTCAACGACTTAAATCAAGAAATAGTTTTCTAAGATCTACAGAGACACTCGCTGGAACACCTCAGCAAGCGAGAGTCCAAAAGTGGCAGGCTCAAACCCAGAACCTCAAGCCATGGCTGATACCAAATGAGAGACTCCCCCCTGGGCACACAGAAGACTGGGCGACTTGGAAGGCGCTGAACAGACTGCGCTCTGGCACCATGAGATGCAGAGCCAACCTCAAGAAATGGGACTACAAAGTGGAATCCACAACATGCGAGTGTGGAGAAGAGCAAACCACCGACCACCTGCTGCAATGCAACCTGAGCCCTGCCACATGCACAATGGAGGACCTTCTTGCAGCAACACCAGAGGCACTCCAAGTGGCCAGATACTGGTCAAAGGACATTTAATCAACTACCAAGCCTGCAAACTTTGTGGTTTGTTTGTTTGTTTAAAAAATGCAATGCAACTGTTTGGTCTGCCCCTGACACGATAAATAAAAATAAATAAATCAATTGAACAGAACCAGTTTGACATAATGCCTTGTGGCTATTTGTGTATTTTGATAGGTTCCATGAAAAAAGGAAAAGAAAGTGTTGATGCCAAAGGCATTATGTACACCACTCCATTAAGAAAGCCAGTAAGTATAAACTTTTTGAAAACATTTATATTTGGGGTTTTTTTTTTAAGTTAAGCTTTGGTGGGCTAGTTTTGAAACCTAGTTGTTGTACTATCAAACATTAACTGTTGGAAGATTGATTTCACACCATGCTTCCTATATAAACATAAAATAAAGTCAAACTATGAAAACAGTTGTTTAAGATGTCCTAGAATGTCTATTAAAAAAAATTTCTACAGAAGTAGTAGCCATATTTATTTTTGTTAACACAATGTTTATTGCCATCTGTCTATGGATATGTTGTATGGCAAGAATTCAGTGTTTAGGAATGAAGTGGTTCTATAGTCAAGATATTTATATTTTTTCAAGTTTTCAGAACTGAACCCCATATGAACTGACATGCACGGCAGGATTTATTTCCTATGAACATCAGAAAGTCTGCTGTTCCAGAGATCTTGAATACAGAGTCAGCACACATAGTAATAGAGAGGGCTTTTCAAAATTAGAATCAATATGTCAAATTCAGTCTTCTGCAGCAACATCTCACATAGATACAGTCGTTAAAGAATACGTTTGTTAAAGCGTGGGGAGGCACCTGGCTCAACAGTAGTATGTGTGAAAAAGATCTTGGAGTCCTCATGGGCACCATGTTAAATATGAGCCAACAATGTCATGCAGTGGCAAAAAAAAGTCAATGGCCTGCATAAATAAGAGTCTAGTGTCTAGATCCAGGGAAGCCATGCTACTCCTCTATTCTGCCTTGGTCACACCACACCTGGAATACTGTGTCCAGTTCTGGGCACCACAGTGGAAGGGAGATGTTGACAGGCTGGAATGTGTCCAGAGGAGGGTGACTAAAATGATCAAGAGTCTGAAGAACAAGCCCTTTGAGGAGTGGCTCAAAGAGCTGGGCATGTTTAACCTGCAGAAGAGAAGGCTGAGAGGAGACATGATGAGGGCCATGTATAAATATGTGAGGGAAAGTTATAAGGAGGAGGTAACAAGCTTATTTTCTGCTGCCCTGGAGACTAGGATGCGGAACAATGGCTTCAAATTACAGGAAAGGAGATTCCACCTGAACATTGGGAAGAACTTCCTAACAGTGAGAGCTGTTCAGCAGTGGAACTCTCTACCCCAGAGTGTGGTGGAGGCTTCTTCTTTGGAAGCTTTTAAACAGAGGCTGGATGGCCATCTGTCGGGTGCTTGGAATGCCATTTTCCTGCTTCTTGGCAGGGGGTTGGACTGGATGGCCCATGAGGCCTCTTCCAACTCTATGATTCTATGATTGTAATACATAAACATGTTGAGGGTTTTTATTTTTCTTTCCATGAAAGCGGACTTGCAACTGAGATGGCTACCAGTACCATCCATGGAAAAAAAATCTACTAATGCTTGGACTATGGTCCTTAGAAGTAGTGCCTTCTGAACATATTCAGAAATACTAGAAGTTCTGTTCATGCCTCAAGGTGAAGACAGCACTACAGTAATAATGAACTATTTTACCAACTGTTCCTGTCCATCCCTTTTATTAATGTTCCCAACATAGCCATGCTTCTGACTGCATTAGAGCAGTCCTCGATCGTATGAACTGAATTTTGCAAATGAGGCTGGCTGAACCTGGTGGAGCTTGAAGCAATAAACTGTGTCTGGTTTTAATTAAATTTGCCCCTAAATGTCTCCCTGGGTCCAAATTGCTTCCTCAGTTTCATCCAAACACCATTCAGGATAGCACCGAGTCACTTTGAAAAATTGTTCGCTTAATGATTACAAGCACTATCTTGATTGCCTGGCTGCAGATCCTTAGCATTTTACCTCCGTGCTAGAATCTTGTTTTTATCCCACTTGGTTGCAGCTTGCTCCTTAGTCATCCATTGAGTTCACCATGGTAGAAAAGGACATCTCTCTATGGATCCATAAGGAGAACAGTTACTCCCTTTTCCTGCTGGGTCTCCTGAGTTGTGAGTAAATGTGGAGGGAAATACTCAGTAGAGGGAGTCTCAACACCATAGCCTTTCTGTCCTTGGAAAAATTGTATTTTAGAACTTCTGCCCATCTGTATAGCTGTAAAAGGCACAAGTGGAGTAGCCCTCATGAAAAACACTGTTTCTGTTGTTCAAACCACCCAGAGAAAAGAGATCCAAAGAGTGAGCACCACCATTGTATTGTGCGTGGGAGCATTTTGCTCCATATGTAAGCTGCCCCAAGTTCCTTCAGAGAGATGGTGGCAGGGTATAAGAATAAAGTTGTTATTATTTGATACACAGCAAACAAGATCACTATGCTGGTTTTTGCATTTGATCACATATTGGATACTTCCCAAGTATCCAGGACTGTGTGATGTATTGGTGATAATGCATGCAGATCTGAGTAGGGTGGCCTTTTGCAGCTGACAAATGGTAATTTTGTCAGCGCCAATTGTTTCTAAGTGCAGGACAAGGTCTTTAGGCACTGCGCCCAGTGTGCCGATTACCACTAGGACCACCTTTACTGGCTTGTGCCAGAGTCTTGTTGTTGCTGTTGCTGTTGTTATTATTTTGTGATTTTGTCTGATGATAATCTATTAGATATAGAACAATCAATAAAGTCTCCATAGAAGATCTCATCAATTGGATGTATTTATATTAGAAACATAAAATATATGCACAAGAGGGGTGTCACAATACATTGAGACACTCCATTCAGAAGAAATTGGTCAACTATCATAACATTTGTTTCATTTGTGTCAAAAACGTATGGCTTGTACAAATGTATTTTTCACCATTGCTATATTTCTTTAATTTGTTTTTGATTACGCTGACACTAAGGTTTTTAGGTGCTGTTGAGTGTGTGACTTGCCTAAGCTCACCCAGTGTATTTCCATGGCTGAGCGACAGATCAACCCCTGGTCGCTAGCACTGTAGTCCAACACTCAAATCATTACACCATGCTGGCTTTGAATATTTCATCAAAATCCACAAAATACCCAACCCCCAAAACTGGAAAATATAAAAAAGACCTTAGAATAAGCAACTAGGAGGGATAGAAAATATGAAATGCATCATTATTGTATGCAGGAATAAAATTAGGATGATACAGGGAAGAATGTTACAGAATGTATTATCGAAGGCTTTCATGGCCGAAATCATATGGCTATATGGCCATGTTCTAGAGGCATTCTCTCTGGACGTTTCGCCTACATCTATGGCAGGCATCCTCAGAGGTTGTGTTACAGAAGACAGTCCACTAGACTTTGTGTTCCTGATATGCTTTAGGACTTGGCAAGTCAACAGCAAAACCTTGAATGTGACTCTGTAGCTAACAAGCAACCGGTTTCATTCTTTCGGCCAAATACCATTTATGAATGGGTTACTCGTCCATTAAGTACATTGGCTGCTATATCCTGTAACACCTGACACTGGCAATTCCACATAGAATGTGTGATACTAGTCAGCTGCATGTATGAATGAGCCCTAACAATAGCAAGTAATTATTATTAGAATCCTCTTGTGATTTTGGTTAAGCGTTATTCTCCTCTTATTATAGATGAGAGAACTGATGATGAGAGCATGCTGAAGGCCACTCAATGAACCCTGGATATGACTGGAAGGGTTTCCATTGAGCTCTGGAAAATCTAAACTCTTTAAAGTTCAGTGCAGCCATAGCCCAATAGTAGACCAAAAATGTCCCATATGTTTGTATATAAAAAATATTCCAGTTTCAATCACTCAAAATAATGGCAAGTAAAAAGGATTCTAGTCAGACAAGTACATTTCTTATCTACCTTGAGAAAATTTGCCTGCCAGTTTCATTTTCCTTCCTCCAGTCCCTATACTCCCAAAATAAAGAGAAGTCATTTCAAAAGTGGAAGGATCTACTGCATGCTGTTTGACCCTGTCAACAACTTGCCAGACCTATTCTGAGCCAGCTGAACTCTATACACTTTTCAAAGGCTGCCCCGTACATAGAGAATAATAATAAATTGCCAGGACATACACAGCTGTTGCAGCAGCTTTAACAGCATTCATGAAAAGTATGTGTCATTTCAGACTCTCCTTTGACACCCACCAGGAAAAGAGTGTTGGACCTGGCAATTACCAACAGAGGTAAGAGCGTATTTTCAGTGTCCTCTGAAATGGGAAAAAAAGGTTTTCCTCACCATTATTTATTGAAATCATGTTACCTGCAAACTTCATGGGGTTATTGCAGCCCTTGAAATTTCATCAACTTCTAAGTCTCAATGCCCTGACATGCTCCAAAAAAGATCCAGCTGAGCGGCAGAAGTTGTTTTTCTATCTAAAAAGCATATTCAAGGCAAGGCTATTTCTTGCTGTTTGAAGGAGCTCACCTCCCTGAAATGGACAAAGAAACCCCCAAATACCTTTAGAAGTTATTTGAAGTGACATGCATTACTTCCTGTTGCCCAGAATGGCATCCACAATGATGTGGTTGTGGTCTTCTGGAGCTCAACAGAGGTGACAATCAAGCAGGACAGCTCTTCAGCTTCCAGAGCTTTCTCATCCCTAATTCAATTTAATGTTTATTGAATATTTGGATTATTGCAGACCATAATTTTAAGGATTTTTAAAAGGTTTTAATGGAATTATCTTTGATCTTTATGATTTGGTGGGAATATAAATTAATCAAGGCCACAGTCTTTCAGTTCTTGGGAAGTTATCCTTGGGACCATCAAATATTTGGATAATCTAACTCAGTGGTTCTTAACCTGTGGGCCATGGACCACGAGTATGAAAATCTGGTTCACGAGCCTCCTTCCTCTTTATTTATTTTATTTTATTTTATTTTATTTTATTTTATTTTATTTTACTTCTGCTCCATTCACACCACCTTCCATTCCTTCCCTGTTGCTGACCAGCCCCAACCCCTTGGATAGACCACATCAGCTCTAGATTATTAAATATGGTTTTCTGTGGGCGAGCAGATGAAAACTACTGACTGGCATATGTTCTGTGTCAGAATCTAGAGCTGATGTGGTATATCCAATGCAGCTTTCTGAATCAGCACCCCAAATAACCAAACCAAATCTAAAATTGACCAAAAACTGATTTATAACTCTTTTGGTACTAATGTTGGAGAGGGGTCCCTGGTCAAAGTGGTCCCTGGTCAAAAAAAGCTTGGGAACTGCTGCTAACTGCAGAAAGGAAGCTCATTCACAAAAGAGCACAACCTAGAGCTTTGAGAATCTCCAAGTATAGTGGACACTTTCTGCAGTCAGCAGCAGAATCTCCTATTCAACATGGCCATTGCAGTGGATCTGAACATGTGTCTGCCATTTCCATATTGATTTGTATTTTCTGTTGGTGTATCCCCCCACCCTCTCTGCATCCTTTCTTCTTCCTAGTGGGGCTAATATTGGGTAAAGTGGCTAGATTTACTACTGACAGTGCATCTCCAGACCCACCGTATTTTATAGGGTTATTTTGCACAATTCTTAGCAGTAAATGCTGTATAGAAGTGTACTGTATTAGTACATCCCTGGGACTTGGAGACCCTTCTCTCTTCACAACATAGTAATATCAATTGTGTAGAATCCTTAATGGCTCAAAGAACTGTAGTAATCCATGCAGAATTACACTACAAGTATCCATCTTTTGACACTCAGACTTACTATACAGCCATTTCACCCCCTGGTGAAGGCAAGATCAGAGACGTGCCTAGCTATAGCTCCATAGCCAGACACAAAATGGTTACATAATTCATTGGAGTGCTCCCGAGATCTCAATGGATGACATCATCATTTCAAATCTGGCTGCAGGGACATAACCAGATGGACCTGCAAACCTTCCTCTGTTCTCCATCAGGCACAGAATGGCGATGTGGATCTATTGCAGAACCACAGTAAATATAATGGCAGCCTTGACTATTGCAGAAGGAGAAAAATAATTCCAACCTTCATATTGAGAGAGAGAGACCGAAATAAGATGGACTTACATTTATGTATAGCATCTAAAGGGTGCCAGGCATGATGTGAAACCTCTGCATTATTTTGTATGGAGTATTGGGCTGTAATTCCATTCTGTTTCTGGAAAATAGTAATACATGACCCAGTTAAAAACTAGCATCCTTCTAGAGACATATGCTGCACTACAGATGAGAGGGAAAATATTGATCATAGTAGTCAGCAGCAGAAGTGAAGTTGGTCATCCTACAACATGGATCATTATAGTCGTTGTGGTGTCACATTGTGCATTGTGCAATGTATAGTTCATTGTGCATTTCACAACAGCAGTCACTGACATGTCTTGTGCACTGTTGCTATTCTGTAGGGTGGCTGTGTCATTCTGACATTGCATATCAAAATGGCAATGTTAGATTTCAGCCAGGGATTGCATGTTACTTCAGCAGAACAATTGTCTTTGAGCATATGGGAAATTAGACACCTTTGTGACATGCATGTGTAAACTTATACAAGAACTGGTTAACGGATAATATTTTCCAGAATTTTAAAGATATGACTATGTTTTGAAGAACAGTAGAAACATTAATTAACTATCAGATCAGTACAGAATTCATTAACTTTCATTTAAAAACTGAGCTTACACAATTTAGCAACTAATATCATCACCTAGGGCAGAGCTTGCCAGTGGTTTTATTAATGAATGTGACCTTCTTACTTGGGGCATCTCATTATCCCCTTTTACAAGAATTTTACCTTCTTTTTAAATTAGCTTCTTGATACCTTCTCCTCCCCACAATTGTAGATTGTGCCAAAAGGGTGTTGTTTTTAGTCATTAGTCCTACCTACTATTTGCGCATTCTTTTCTAATTATTTCTTTTCTACAGTCATTACAATATAATGTAAACATCCCAAGAGATATGAGTTATTAGTGTTGGGTGATTGCTTGCGGGGGAATAAAGACGTGCATACCTACATTCTGATTATTTTGCAGACATTTTAGTTCCTTATAACAAATTTTAATATGGTATCAGCCTCCACATTTACTGGAGGTAGGCCCACAATATTCCCATGGAAATAGAAAACTGTAGGCAAATACATTTCTTTCTTTTCCCTAAAAAAAACCTTTGGGAATTTCTAGTTCTTCCAGCATAATTCTGTGGTTAACTTTCACTGGAAATCAACCATAGAATCATATTAGAGGATCTAGAGATTGCTAAAGTGGCATTCTCTTGAGAAATCTCTAGGTCCTTCATAATCACTAAAGAACTTTGACTGTAGAATTACATTGGAGGATCTAGAGTTCTAGAGGGAACATTTTAATCAAATCTGGAAAAGTCAAAATTGCTACTCTCGATGGATAACTGTGACTCAAGGCTATGGAATCATGGAAGCTTTGGTTTTACATGATTTTTAGCCTTATCTGCCAAAGAGATCTGGTGCCTCACCAAACCACAACTCCCATGAATCCTTAGCCTTGAGCTGTGGCAGTTAAAGCACAAAACATTGGACAAGAAGTTTCCATGACTCAAATCAATCAACATTCAGCAGATCTTTCATTTTATCTTGAGTTGCTAAGCTGGTAAAAGGTTGTCAAGTAATATGCCTTTGTCAATATTCCTCCTAGTGCCACTTTTTGTACTTCCTGTGAAACTTTCTCAACTTCTCACACTGAAGATCCTTCAGTCCACGTCACCATGGAAGGATCATAGTTTCAGCAAAGTCAGTGGGATAATGTTGATCTATGAAGACTGCATAAGCAATCCTTTTCATCAGAGGAAACCAGAACAGAGAGAAGCAACAGTCCCTCCTTCTCTTTTCTTTATTCTAGAAGACTGGGAGCCCTTTCACATAGTGCCATGGTTCCATTACCTCCTATAGAATCCTGGATTTATAGTTTGGCAAGGTACTAAAGAAACTTTCTGAATGAGCATTCTAAATTGTAGCTACCAGAACTTATAGCAGGCTGTCATGGCAATTAAAGTAAAATCATAATGCTGTAATTGTGTAGTGTAAAGGACCCTTGATGCCAGATAACTGGATTGACACCACCCTTACCCTATAAAAGTATGCTGGCACACAATATGCAAGTTTTGGTCAGGTTTTATGTTGAAGGCTGTTTATAACCTATTGGAGACTTGTATAGAAATTCAGAGAGCCACTTATAATAACAAGAAGAGCTGGAGTTTGAAAAGCTACTTGTTTGGACCACAACTCCCAGTATCCTCCTGGAAATCAGTGGCTCAGTTTCTGGGGAATTCTGAAAGTTATAGTCCTGAAGAAAAGTAAACAGGAATCTGAAAATTCAACTTGTTGAGGTTTGTGATCCAAAAAAAGAAACTTGTGCTATACAAGCTGCCATCCGTATCCATGCCCTGTTCACCCTAACAGCTCATTAGACATCTTGACCAATGATCAATCTTATTTGCCCCCAAGGAACTGGGAAATTGATGCTTCTGTTTGATGTTTGATATTTTGTTGCATGTCTGATATGATGGTTGCATTTTTCATTTAATTTTTGTTGTTAAGTTATAATTTGCTGGGTTGTCAATTTTTGTTATTATGGGTGTATTGTTATTATGTTCAGGCATTGCAGTTTTATGTTTGGAATCTGTCCTGAGTCTCTCCGGTGAGATAGGATGGAATATAAATGAAGTTTTATTATTGTTATTATATTATTACAAGAATAATTAATTCAGCTTATTGGTTATTTAAGACCTCATCTACACTGACATAGAATCCAGTTTCTGAATCCAGACTATCTGTTTTGAACTGGATTATATGGCAGTGTAGGCTCCAGTTCAAAGCAGATAATCTGAATTCAGAAACTGGATTCTATGGAGGTGTAGATCCAACCTTAAATGATCTCTGAATGCCATGTAATTGCATGTCTTCTATTACATCCTACAATCTTTTGAAGTGTTTGCTTGCATTGGACCGTCCAGCAAATAGGACTGATAAGAGTTGCAGTCCAGCAATATCTGGAGGACCACAAATTGCTCATCCCTGTTTTAGTTCTAGAGGAATAAAGGTGAATTTGGAGAAATGTTTGTGTTACAGAATAATATGCTGATTTTCTTTTTGATTTATGTTTATTCTTCAATTATTTGAAATAAATTGTGTATATTAATTGTTGGAAGCTGTCCTGATTTTGCAAAAGTTTGGAACATAATAAGAAAGTAAAACAAATTCAGCTTTCAGCAACTTCACAAAGTTGATGTGATTCTAAGGATTACTACTTTCACAGAAAATGTAATAGCAGAGGCAGAGGTAACACGGTAAGAGAAGGAATAGTTTACATTTGTATTCAAAACTAACAATATGCACACATAAATTGAAATAACCAGGTCAGGTCAGGTATTAATAAGCAAACACATTTCTAGAGAACACTGGAAGATTTCTTCCAAAATGCATTCAGGTATGACTTTTCCTTCCTCCAGTCTGCACTATGTATTATTTCTATTTTGGTGGACAAACGTACATTTAACATACTTGTGAGGCAGACTTATATACTCTCTATTGTTCAGTTAAGGATTCTGGAGATGTTTAGAAGATGCTATATTCTTTACTGGTGGTAAGCTGTCACACAGCTATAGCAGGGTCAGCTAGAGAAGAATCACGCTCTTTCTAAACTCACGTTTCCTTGCATTGTTTTCTGCAGACTTGCCACTGCAACCCCACACCAAGTATGCATTTTTCAAGGCCTTCACCATCTAGAACAATGAGAAAAGGTGGACTGAGCAGGCATAAAAAGCCTTTGTAAAAAGAAGCTTCGCTATTAGAAGCTTTGTCAACAACGCTATGCTGGACGCTAAAGCCGCAGTCACAAACAGTGGGAACCCTGAGAATTTAAAAAGGAACAAATTGGGCTGCTGTGTTTTCCAAGCTGTATGGCCACGCTCCAGAAGCATTCTCTCCTGACATTTCACCCATATCTATAGCAGGCATCCCCAGAGGTTGAGAGGACTGTGGGAAACTAGGCAAGTGGAGTTTATATATCTGTGGAATGTCCAGAGTGGGAGAAAGAACTCTTGTCTGCTTGAGGCAAGTGTGAATGTTGCAAACGGCTGCCTTGATTGGTATTTAACGGTCTTGCAATGTCAAAGCCTTCTGGTTGCTGCCTAGGGGAATCCATTGTTGGGAAGTGTTAACTGGCCCTGATTGATTTTTGTCTGGAATTCCCCTGCTTTTTTAGTGTTCCTCTTTATTTAATGTCCTGATTTTAGAGTTTTTAAATATTGGTAACCAGATTTTATTCATTTTCATGGTTTCCTCCTTTCTGTTGAAATTGTCCACATGCTTGTGGATTTCAATGGCTTCTCTGTGTAGTCTGACATGGTAGTTAGGGTGTTCCAGCATTTCTGTGTTCTCAAATAATATGCTGTGTCCAACTTGGTTCATCACATGGTCTGCTATGGCTGACTTCTCTGATTGAATTGGTCTGCAGTGCCTTTCATGTTCCTTGATTCTTGTTTGGACATCAGGAGAGAATACTTCTAGAACATGGCCATACAGCCCAGAAAACTCAGAGCAACCCAATGATTCTGGCCATGAAAGCTTTCGACAACCCAAGGAACAAATTCTTTTTTAAAAGAAATATGTAAACCCCTTGGATTAAGGAAAATAAGTCTGTACGTGTGTGCTTGCATGCAGACCACAGGAGCCAATTGTGGAATTTGCTACCGCATTTACTATTTATTTACAGCTTTAAATGGAGGTTGGAAAAATTTGTGGATGCCAATACCTTTCATTCATGAAATGATTGATGCATATTCCCTCCAGTCCTGTATATCAGCTGCTTTTCATGTTCTGCAATTGGGCTCCCTAAAGGTATCTGATTGGTTGCTGTGTAGATAGAAGTTTGCAATAGATAGGACTGATCCATCATGGCTGTCCTCATGAGTGGTGAAAGCCAAAGGCACTGTGGGCATTAAACTCCTGCTCTCAGCTTCATTCTTCTTTCTCTATTCATCCTTTATGTGCATTAGTATTCTTTTCTCTATTTTTCCCTTTCCATAGTCTTCACTCTGAGAAATACTTCTGAATATGCTACCTGATCTGTTCTTCCAGAGCTCTCCCATGTCAGACCAGAAGCTTTGTGGTATAGCCTCTCACATGAAGCAAGTCCCCATACAGTTGTTGTGAGTTTTTCAGGCTGTATGTCCACATTCCAGAGGCATTCTCTCCTGACCTTTCACCTGCATCTATGGCAGGCATCCTCAGAGGATGTGAGGTCTGTTGGAAACTAGGAAAATTGGGTTTATATATCTGTGGAATGTCCAGGGTGGGAGAAAGAACTCTTGTCTGTCGGAGGTAGATGTGAATGTTTCAGTTGGCCACCATGATAAGCATTTAATGGCCTAGCAGTTTCAAGGTGTGACTACTTATGGTCTGGGGAAATATTTTGTTGGGAGGTGATTAGCTGGCCCTGATTGTTTATTGTCTGAAATTCCCCTACATTTTATTTTTGTTCTTTATTTACTGTTATGATTTTAGAGTTTTATTTTAATAGTGGTAGCCAGATTTTGTTCATTTTCAGGTTTCTTCCATTCTGTTGAAATTTGTCCACATGCTGGTGGATTTCAATGACTTCTCTGTATAGACATGGTGGTTAGAATTTCTGTATTCTCAAATAATATGCTGTATAAGTCCCCATACTTTCAAATAGATGGTGGCCCAGAAAGCACATGAAAACTTTTGACAGCATCTGAAATCTAGATGGTGACATGTGCCAGTATATACTGCTGTTAAACCTGCATATATCCCCTTAAGGTCATTGAAGAAGGATGTATCCAGGACACATGCATAGCCTACCAATGGGCAGCTGAAGCATTTCTCCACCATTGTTTAGATTTACAGTGGTTCTCAACCTGTGATCTCCAGATGTTTTGGCCTTCAACTCCCAGAAATCCTAACAGCTGGTAAGCTGGCTGGGATTTCTGGGAGTTGTAGGCCAAAACACCTGGGGACCCACAGGTTGAAAACCACTGGTTTAAAAGCTAGGGAAAGGTTGGCGAGTCAATGTCCAGCTGCATTTCTCCAGAGATCTGAGAGGAAGCCATCTTCTTTGTGCCATCTGAAACACTGCCAGATGCTGCCTAGGTACCTGCCACCTTCCTCCATCTACTAAATGTAAATTGATAATATGGGTCAGCTGATATGTATGCTTAGTAGAGTTTTGATATAGGATCTCAGCCTTGATTAATGCTCCACCAGCCCAATACAGGGCAGATTCTGAGTTACAAACATCCAACTTACAAATGACTCAGAGTTAAGAACAGGAGTGAGACAACAGGATGTGAGAGAAATGTATCCCTAGGAAAGGAAATTCACTCCTGAAAGAGTTATCATGTGGAAAGGGGGTCAGAAAGTGAGTTGAAATCTTCTGAACAGGGGCACAGAGAGCTAAGGAAAGACCACAGGGGTGTTAACCTTTCACTATGCTATCCATCTGCCTATATTTGCCTTCCTTCTCAATGGGAATCAACTATCCAGCTTTTCGATAGCTTTCCACCTGGCCAAAGGAAGAAGACCCAGGTGAACTTTGTCAAAGTTTGAGTCCCTTAATGCAGTAGTTCTCAACCTATGGGTCCCCAGGTGTTTTGGACTACAACTCCAAGAAATCCCAGCCCGTTTACCAGCTGTTAGGATTTCTGGGAGTTGAAGGCCAAAACATTTGGGGACCCACAGGTTGAGAACCACTGTCTTAACAGCTGGCCAACCCACATCTTCAGAATCTTTCCTTCTTTGTTGAGTAGCTTTTTCAACTCGGTAATTCTCCCCATCTGAAAAGAATGGGCTATGAAAGCCCATGCACAGACACTAGCATAACTTGTTTATTCAAAATCATGATTTGTGGCATGTTGGAGGGATATCATTCCTTCACCAAGAGAAATGATTATGTTCTAATTTTAGCTATCCCCCCTCCCCAGCACCATTAAACTGTATTCTTGTACACTGCATTTGCATGTAAATCAGCACTAATTATTGACATCTATTAGCATGATTACAAAATGCAATGTTTACACACAGTGTTTGGGTTTCTGTGTTTGTTTAATATGATTCCCAGGATAAAGGATAAACAAAGTGATAAATTCTACATAAATTTTGCAGCTCCCAGTTCTATTAACATTCACTCAGATGGAAGTGCTCTTGTACTCTGTGTGGCTTGTTTGCAGGTAAGAATGCATAAGATTTCATCCTTGGCTGCACACATGAGTCATAAGCAAATCTCACAGGGGAACAGAAGTTCATAATCCAAGCCAAACTTAATTCACCCAATGAGCTAACTTACCTAAAGCCTCTAACTCCTTCTTGTTTGTGCTCTCATAGTCCCACATTGCACAGTATTTGAAAAATAAACACAGCTTTAGGGCTGAATCAATGCGTACTCCTAAGTTCAACACATACAGGACATAAATTCATTTCAAAGCTCACTATTTCCCCATTTATTAGCACTTGGAATATTTTAATACTTTTATATGTATTGCATATGACTGAACAGGCAATACGTACTAGTAAAATGTACACTGCCAAATGCCTAAGCATACATCAGTTACATGAATTACCTGAAAACAAACAACTTAATCCTAGATTTTTTGATTTGGAATGAAGTCTTGGAGATTGGGTTTCTGCTCCAGATGCTTAGGATTATAAACATAATCAACTCACAGTGGAAACTAGCACACCTGGGCTCAAAATAAAGCCGCTAAGGCCATTCCTCAATTTAAAGGTCTTCCCTGTTTCAAGTGCTGTTAGTTCCCAAACTGATTAAAAGAGCCAGAAGAATAAGAAGCAGAAACTTGACTTGCCAATCAAGTAATGACATCTGGACATCAAACAGAGCAGAATGCTCAGGTCAGTGGGTCACAGTCTTCCCTACAATGGAAACATGCAGACCTTGCAACCTCTGAGGATGCATGCCATAAATGTAGGCAAAACATCATTAGAGAATGCTTCTAGAACATGGCCACACAGTCCAAAAAACCTACAACAACCCTGTGATTCCGGCCATGGAAGCTTTCAACAATACTGTACATAGAAACATGCATACTTCT